TATGTCAGACCTTTCACTGCTAAACATAAGTCCCAGCCCTGGTTCTCTTTTTATGTATCTTGCTACCCTCATAGCTGCATCCCAATGAAACCTTTTAGGTTGCTGTAGAAATTGACTAAGTGTTTGAACTGTATAAGCTATGTCTAGACTTGTTAAGGTCAAGTATAACAATTTGGCTATCAATCTTTGGTTCTGTCCCTTTTCTTCAAGTATGTGATCATCTTCACCTCCTGTTAGCCTGACATACTTTGGTATAGTCAACTTCACATTCATCTCAATAGATGTCCAAGACGGTTTGGCATCTCCCAACCCCAACTCAGATACGATCTCCAAGGCATACTTTCTCTGATTAACCAAAATGCCTTTGCTTGGCCAACTAAATTCCATACCAAGAAAAAACTTCAACTCTCCTAAGTCTTTAATCTTAAAAGCCTTGTGGAAGGAGTCTTTTGTTTCCTTTATCAACTGTTGGTTGTTCCCAGCAATTATCATATCATCTACATAAACCAGAATCACTACTACATCACCCTTTTCTTTTTTATGAACAAAGAATGATCAAGACCACTCTGCTTAAATCCTGACTGTAACAAATCTTCAATCAACTTTAAATTCCATTGTCTTCTTGTTTTCTTTACTCCATACAAGAATTTAACAAGTCTGCAAACTAGCTTAGATTTTACTAGTTGTCTCCCCCTGACTTGAAAATCCCCGTGACAGCTCCATGTAAACCTCATCATGTAGGTCACTTGCAAAAATGCATTGTAAATATCCATCTGATGGATGTGCCAATTCTTCATAGCTTCTAAGGATAAGACTGTCCAGACAGTAACAATCTTGACCACAAGTGGGAATGTCTCATTGTAGTTAAGGCCTTCCTTTTGACTATAGCCTTTGACTACTAGTCTGGCCTTAAACCTCTCTATCTCCCCATTAGCCTTAAGCTTGATCTTGTATACCCATCTACACCTAATGCAAACACACCAACTCCCATGTCTTGTTTTACTGCAATGCCTCTGTTTCTTCCTTTATTACCTCAATCCACCTAATATCACTAGTACAAGCTTCTTGAAATGACTTAGGTTCAGATATTACCGAGAAGACTCCTAAATAAGCTCCGTGAGATGGAGATGAGTGTTCATAGAAAGCAAAACTCTAGGATCAAGAAGATACATTCCTTCTTGAAAAAACTTATTCAATTTATCACATGAGGAGGGAGACTTTGGAGGATGTCAAAAAAGGCATTCCTAACATAGACGACTGCATTGTTGAAGCTCTCAGTTTAGAGACAGCCGCCTACGAGAACATTCCTGCATGGCCCATAGCTTCAAGCTCATCGAGCACTTGTTCTAATTGTTAAAAAATCGAAGAGGAAATAGAGGGAAAGGATAAAGATAAGGATGAAGGTACTGAACCGGATACAGAACAACCTTCATCTTCAAAAGATGCAGTAAAGACTTCTCATCCTTCAGACTCTGCTGATAAAACCAACTAATATAATTTTTGTTGAGTTCGGCATTTTGAGAAATGAAAAACATCTTTTACTTAGCAATTATGTAAAGACATCTTTCCAGTGATAAAGTTCGGGAATACTTTACATTCGATAACTTTAATACCGAGAATTCATACTTTCGGCTTCTACCCTTTAACTATGAGGGTTTAATAAGAGAGTTCCCTTATGTTTACGGTATTCTTGAAGGGGATGTCTCCTATTCACTCTGACACCAGCATTTGAAGTTTAACTAACTTTCAAATGAAAAAGATCATATCGCATCATTTAGACAAGAAATAAGATAAAAATAAAATGACTTTAATTTATTCCTTTCATTTGTAAAAGTACATTTACATAAGCAAAAATTCGCCAAAGTAAATAAAGCTGCCAATACATGTAGCTAACTTATACTACTTATTTCTACGGGGATGACCATGCAGTCTCCGGTCCTGACAAGATATATTTTTCGGTTCTAACAATCCCCGGTCTTAATGACACTTTTAGCGCTCTGATATAGAATAGTTCCCCCTAGTGTTCAGATGCAAAGTATGAGAATTCAAACACTGGAGTTCTTGTTGTTATCGATGATTCTTCTTCGTAGTATGCTTTACGTTGTTGTCTCATTACAAATCTTGCCATAAAAATCCAATTGGAAAAAATTGGACGAAGGGAAAGAGAGTGCAACACATACTTTCATTATCATCGAAGATCTTCAATAGTAATACCTTTTGAGGTGAGTCATGTTCTAATTGCATGGTAATTTTATTCTATCTAGTTTTTCCAACTGATGCGAACCATTACCGGTTATAGATAAAATCCAGTAAGGACCTTCCCATGTTGGTCCTAGCTTTCCAACATTGACTTATCGGGTACTTTGAATTACTTTCCGCAAAACCAAATCCCCAACTTTAAAATATCGAACATTTGCCCTGCGATTATAGTATATTTCTATCATTTGCTTTTGTATCACCATCCTCATATATGCTAAATTCGGGTGCTCTTCAAGCAAATCCAGCTAATATGCATTGCTTCTTATTCTCCTCCTTGTTTGCCCAGGAATACCTTATGGTCGGTTCCCTAATCTCCATCGAAATCAAATCTTCTGCACCATACACGAGGGAAAAAGGCATTTCACATGTGCTTGACTTTTCCATTGTTCGATATGCCCATATCACTCCCGACAACTCTTCTTGCAACTGCCTTTAGCATCCTCTAATTTATTTTTGAGGTTTTTTAAATTATCACCTTGTTTGTTGACTACGCTTGACCGTTAGCAAAATATCTTCCAGGTTTTTTGATAAGGTAAAATATCTTATAGGTTTTTTGAATTATCACCTTGATCTGCAATCCTTCCAGAAAATTTGTGACTTTGGCACCTATAAATTGTGGCCCATTCCCACAAAAAAATTCCTTTGGTACTCCAAACCAGCAAATGATATGATCCCAAATGAAATCAACCACTTCTCTCTCTCCAGTCTTTTTGAAAGCACATGCTTCAACCCATTTAGTGAAATAATCGGTAAAACCTATAAGATATTTTACCTTCCCGGGACCCTTGAGGCATATGACTAATTATATCCATCCCCCATTTAATGAATGGCCATGGTGACACCACCGAATATAGAAGCTCTAGTGGCTAATGCACTAATTGCACGTGACACTGACACTTATCACATTTGTTTACAAATTCCTTCGCGTGTTGTTCAATTCGGGGTCAATAGTAATAAGTCCTTATCAATTTAAGAACCAATGAGTCTGCACCAGAGTGATCTCCACAAACCCCTTCGTGAACTTCTCTTATCACATAATTAACCTCTGATGTCCCTAAACATCGAGCCAACGGTTCTTGAAAAGATCTTGGGTATAATTGACCATCAAAAAGGCAATAATGAGCAGCTTTAGTTCGTAGTAACCGAGAGGCTTCAGAATCTTCAGGCAATTTCTCATGCTTTAAATATTCTATAAACTCATTTCTCCAATACCAAATTAGGTTGGTTGAGTTTACTTCGCAATAACCATCCACGTCATGGACTGGATGCAATAACTGAACAACTGCATCGGAATCAGCTCCTTTTATTTTTATGGAAGACCCTATATTGGCCAACGCGTTTGCCTCTACATTCTCTTGACTTGGGATGTGAATTACCGACCACTCCCTGAACCTGGAAAGTAAATTTGAACTTTATTCAAGTACTATTGCATGAACTCTTTTTTGGTGTCAAAGAATCCATATATATGATTCACTACCAACTGGGAGTTGCATTTTACTTCAATCACCTCATATCCTAGTCACCGGGCTAATTCAAGTTTTGCAAGCAAAGCCTCATACTCGCCTTCATTGTTAGTTAAAGGAACAGTTCTAATGGCATGTCTCAGGGTCTTCCCGAAGGAGTTATTAATACTATCCCAAGACTAGACCCTTTTACGTTGGAAGCTCCATCCGTAAACAAGGTTCATACACTGGAGGCGGTTCCCGATACCATAACTATTTTTTTAGCAGCCGAATGCATCATTCCCGGACAAAAACCAGTCACAAAGTTGGCTAAGACTTGTGACTTAATAGCAGTCTGAGTTTTATATTCTATATCAGATTCACTAATTGCAATTTCCAGTTTAGCCAATCGACTCGATAGTTCAGGCTTGTGAAGGACATTCCTCAATGGAAAAGTCATCATAACAACTATTGGGTGACATTGAAAGTATGGTCTAAGCTTTCAAGGGGAAACTACAATAGTTAGAACCAACTTTTCCCTGTGTGGATAACGTATCTCAGCTCCCGGTAGTATTTTACTAACATAATAAAAAATAAATTACGTATCTCCTTCCTCCCAGACCAAGAATGCACTCACCGCAACTTCCGAGACCGCTAAGTAAATTAATAATTATTTACCCTCATTTAATTTACACATTACCATAGGACTGGACAAGTACATTTTCAGGTCTCTTAACACTTGTTGGCATTTCGGAGTCCACGAAAAATCATTCTTCTTTTCCAAAACTGAAAAGAAATAATTATATTTTTCTGACGACCTCGATATGAATCTTCTAAGGACCGCCAACCTGCCAGGCAACCTTTGCACCTCTTTTACACTTGTTAGTTGGCCAGGGATATATTCTGTGTCCTTAATATTGTCTTGATTCACTTATTCCTCTTTTAGAAACTAAGAAGCCAAGAAACTTCCCAAACCCAATTCCAAAAGCACATTTTTCAGGGTTAGGCTTCATGTTCGTATTTTTTTAAAATATCAAATGTCTCTTGTAGATGAGTCATGGATTCCTACACTAAGATACTTAACCAACATGTCATTACTATAAATTTCCATAGTCTTACCAGTTTGACGTTCAAAATTTTTATTGACGAGCCTATGATAAGTAGCTTAGGCATTCTTAAGCCCAAACAGCATCACATTATCGCAATAAGTGCTAAAATTTGTGATGAATGAGGTTTTTTCTTGATCTTTCGAGTGCATCCTAATTTAATTATACCCGGACTACGCATCATGGAAACTCGTCAATTCACATATTCTCCCAAATCTTTCAATAAGCCAATCAACCAAACAACTTCAGAGACAACACTTGCCATGCTCCTATACTCAGCTTCTGCTGAGCTTTTTGAGACTGAGCTTTGCTTCTTGCATTTGCAAGAGACTAATGATTCACCATACTTAATTAAGAACCCAAAAACTGGTCTTCTTGTGTTAGGGCATGATGCCCAGTCAGCATCACAAAACACAGAAATTATGTCAGACCTTTCACTGCTAAACATAACTCGCAGCCCTGGTTCTCTTTTTATGTATCTTGCTACCCTCATAGCTGCACCCAATGAGACCTTTTAGGTTGCTGTAGAAACTGACTAAGTGTTTGAACTGTATAAGCTATGTCTAGCCTTGTTAAGGTCAAGTATAACAACTTGGCTATCAATCATTGGTTCTGTCCCTTTTCTTCAAGTATGTGATCATCTTCACCTCCTGTTAGCCTAACATACTTTGGTATAGTCAACTTCACATTCATCTCAATAGGTGTCCAAGATGGTTTGGCATCTCCCAGCCCCAACTCAGATACGATCTCCAAGGCATACTTTCTCTGATTAACCAAAATGCCTTTGCTTGGCCAACTAAATTCCATACCAAGAAAAAACTTCAACTCTCCTAAGTCATTTGGTCAATGTTTGACAACGGGAAAGAATCTTTAGGGCATGCCTTATTTAGATCTTTATAATCTATACACATTCTAAACTTATTATTCTTTTTAGGAAGAACCTCTATGTTAGCTAACCAATTAGGATAATTTACTTCACGAATTAAACCTATATTTATCAACCAAGTTACCTCCTCTTTAACAGACCCATTCCTGACTTCTACTATTGGCCATTCTTTTGCTTCACCGACGGGAAATTAGGGTCCAAACTTAACTTGTGGACAACCACATCTAGTGGAATCCATGTCATATCATAATGAGACCATGCGAATCAATCGAAGTTAGCTTTTAAGAACTCAATAAGTTTAAGCACGAGTTCAGGACTCAACCCCTTTCCCCGGTAAACGTTTTTATATGGGAACTCTATTAACAAAGCAATTTGTTCCAGTTCCTCTGTGGTCGACTTTGTAGCATTTGATTCTTTTTGTAGCTGAAAGGATCTAGGCACCTGATAATAATTTGTTGTCTCCTCATCTCCAATACCTTTGACCGGATATGGAAGGGAAATAGACATTAGTTTTTATAGTTTCTATTTGCTCATTCCTCCCGCCTTACTACTGGATAAGGTGACAATGTTTATTTCTCTCGCAGCAGGTTGATCACCTCTAATCTTCTTGATCCCATCTGGCATAGGGAACTTCAGAAATTGATGATAAGTCGATGGCACAACCTTTATTTCATGAATCCATGGCCTACTAAGGATCACATTATAACCCATATCTTCATCCACCACCTCGAAATGTGTTGGCAGTAAGATCTCCTCTCGAGTTGTTACACTCGTTAGGTTGAACTCGACAAGAAGCATTGTTGCTGGAACTATACTTTGGGTTAAATTTGTTGGTTCCAAAACCCTCAATTAGATGATATTAGCTGAACTACCTAGATCAACCAACACACATTTACTTTTAAAATTTAAAACATTAAGTGATATTACGAGAGCATCATAGTGCGGCAACATAAGGCTGTCATCGTCTTCTTTCATGAAGATGATTTCATCATCTTCTGATTCTTCTTGGACTCTCTTGCAATGAGTTACCGATATCTTTGTCTTCTTTTCTGCCAAAAATGTCACCCCATTTACTTCACCTCCACCAAAAATCATGTTTATTATTAAATAGGGTGACCTTGCGGCCGATTTTGCTGGTTTCGTTGAATCTCGATTCCTCCCATAATTATTCTTGGCCAGATGAATAAAACATTCTCTAAGACGGTCATTCTTCAACTATGTTGCAACCTCTTCACGAAGTGCCGGCAGTCCCCAGTCCTGTGGCCATGCATTTTGCGGAATTCACACCACAGACTAAGATTTGACCGAATTGGTTTCGGAAATCTTGCCTCCTTGATCTTTCTCTTAGCTGAAACCAATTTTACAAAACTAATATTGAAGTTGTAATATGATAACCGGGTGATATGCCTAATCCCGAGACCTCGATGGTTCTTTCTCCTACAAAACCCTGCTATTCCGACCACAATCCGTCCTTCTATCTGATACAAGCCTTTCGATGATTGCAAACCTTTAGTTTCACACTCATCAGCTCTTTCATAAGACTGGAAACGACTCCTAGAGGACCTCTGATATGCATCTAAATCACTTCTAAACTTCTCCTGATTTCGATCGCGATTGTGTCCTTTGGATGACACCAAAGAACTCAGTTGATCATCTTCAATTCTGATTTTTGATTCATAACGATTATGGATATCTTCCCATGCAGTTGCCTGAAACTCGAATAAGCTTTCCCTAAATTTCATAGAGGCATTGGAGCTTAAAGGACTGAGACCTTTGGTGAATGCTTCAACTGCCCAATCATCCGGCACTGCTGGCAACAACATCCTCTTATTTTGAAACCAAATTGTGAACTCCCGCAACAATTTAGATTCTCTTTTAGCGATTCAGAATATATCTGCTTTCCTAGATTGGACTATCCTCACCCCAACATAAGCATTAATAAAGAAATCTGCAAGCATTTCAAAAGAGTTAATCGAATGCTCAGGTAAAGAGAGAGTACCATGTTAAATCAACCTTTGTTAGTGTTTCTTCGAATTTCTTCAGCAGAACAGATTCGATCTCATGCAAATCATTTCCCTTTACAGCCATAGTGTAAGTTTTGATATGCTCTTGTGGATCCAAAGTTCCATCATACTTTAAAATATCGGTTTGAACGGCAACTGCATATACTTCTTTGAATCCGACTCCTTTAATAATGGTGGTTCTCCTGAGATCTAATCCATTAGAGAGTAGAATTCTTTAAATTTTGATACATCCAATCATTCATTTCCCTCATGAATCTCATGAGATTGGTTTTTAAGGGATCATTTGTGTTATTGTCGTTCTCGGATCCACCACCTACACTACCTGCTTGATTTTTATTGAATCCAAACTCCTCTCTTGAAAGCGATATTACCGGTTCTTTGCATTGTTTGATTTGTAGGCACGCTGGGAGGGGCTCGAACTCCTCCATTGGAATTATTGGAGGCAACCGAAAGTACTTGCTAGAGCTCCGTCATTATTCGGTCTTGTCTTGAGAGATGGTTCATGATTTCCCTTTGCTGTGCTCTCAAAACATTCACCGTTTCAACAACAGGTTCATTGTCCATATCATCAGGAGTTCGACTTCTCACATGCCGAGGATTTCATTCTTTGGAACCAGAGTTGCCTTATCTCTATCGTTACGAGTTTCACTGGTAGAATCATCACACTGGAACATATGCTCACACTCATTGTTTGTTCCAACATTGAAGGAGTTGTTCACATCATTCGTTGCCATATCCATTTTTACTTTACTGATGAAAAAGCGTCAAAAAGTTGTTACTAACATATGAATGGATCAAAGTAATACCACAGTTACCTATGCCCCACATTGGGTGCCAAACTGTTTATCCATAAAATAATATAGTTAAATTTATAACGTGGTTTAGAGACACTTGGATTAATTTAATCCAAGAATATAAAATACTTAAGAATAGAAATAAATTAATTAAAGAAACTTGAAGAAACTACAAGCCTAGCTGTGAGATTTGCTTCTCCGGAAGCAATACTAAGAACAGTATGTAGAACAGAAAGAAAAAATATTGTTAATAGAATACGAGCAAGTTTAGCCTTTTTGCATACAGATTTTCTTGTCTTGCAATGAATACAAATTCTCCTATTTATAGATCAATTCAGGAAGACAAGATCCCCAAAGTAAGCTCTTCTTCAATAAGAATAAAACTCCTCTTGATGGTTGTTTAATGGTTGAGTAAAATGCAAAGATTCTTTATAACGATTGCTCATTGGATATTGCCTTTTCCAACAGATATATTCTTTTCAAACTTTTGTCCCCAGTTCTAGCGTCTTCGAAAGTCACTCAGTACCAGTCACTCATATCTTATTTGTCTTTACTGTCACGTGTCAAATCGACGAGCATCAACCTGTCATTCATCAATTTTACCCCATACAAGGCTTATTTTCTTCAAGTTTCACTTTATCAAAGCTTTCTAATATAATTCACTCCTACCAAAATCTTTCAATTTTTTTGGTAATAAAATACTTTTATTCAAAGTAAACTACTTTAAGATTCATTACATCGGGATACAAGTCTAGGCAACATAGTACCCATACTATCTCTAACAAAAGAAGAAAAGATAAGGGCAGGGTATTAGGGTACACCAAAAGCTTTCAAAAAATATCCAAGCTACATACAATTTTTTCTGACTAGTCCGCCACTCCATTAGATGCTCTATACATGTGCTTAAAGGTTGGATTGACCGTATAAGATAATAGGGACCTGCAATCATCAATCAAGTTTTGATATATACAATTTTCTATAGTTAACATATTGATTAATTCTTGGCAATTAGTTTTGATAGTTAAAGGCAGGAAGCCTTTTTCCAAAGCAAGCTTTACTCCATGAAATAAAAGCTAGTGCTTATATGTAGATGTTAATAGCATGTTGTATCCCCATATTGAATCCCAGGATCCATGTTTTATTTCTATCTCTAAAGATAACCCTAATACTACCTTTTCCCGGATTTCCTAAATAGGATCCATCAATATTAAGCTTATAGGGGGTGGTAGCCATGGGTTCCCACTTCATGTAGATAGTCACCTTGGTAGGATTATTATGCCCCTTATTGGTCATGAATAAGTATTCTAGGTTCTATTAACTGGGTTTCTTATGTGTGGATGAGAAGTGTTATTTTGGAATATTTTGCTATTTCTAGTATTCCATAGGAACCAAAGCATGACAGGTAGGAGCTCAGCCCAGTTAATATAACTATCGAATTATTTTTTGGATTTAAGATGTTTTTGAGCCATATGAACATTGTATCATTTTAAAATTGGTTGAACGGATAATTATGGGGGATATTGTGATGACCCAGCCAGTCGTCTTGTGTATTGTAGCCCCGTTCCTCTGTTATTACTTATTCTATATGCATTTGTGATCACGTGACTTGTCGGTGTGGTTGGTTTGATTTTGGGGATATGTCAGAGTGAATTGGGACACTTAGTTCCAAGGTTGGAAGTTTAAGTTGAAAGCATTGATTGGATGTTGAATTTTATGTAAATAACTTCGAAATGGAGTTTTGATGGCCCCGATAGCTTCATATGGTGATTTTGGACTTAGGCGTATGTCCAGATTTGGATTTGGAGGTCCTTAGGTGGTTTTGGCTTGAATTGGCGAAAGTTGAAAAATTGAAGGTTTGAAAAGTTGGAAATTTTTTCGAGAGTTGACTTTGTTGATATCGGGCTCAGATTTTGGTCTCGAGAGTTGGAGTAGGTCCATTTTGTTATTTATGACTTGTGTGCAAAATTTGAGGTCAATTAGAGTTGGTTTGATATGATTCGGCATTAGTTTTAGAAGTTGGAAGTTCATTAGTTCGTTAGGCTTGAATTGGGGTGCAGTTTGTAATTTTGATATTGTTTGATGTGATTTGATGCTTTGACTAAG